GATCCAACTGAGAAAGCTCAGACTGCCCAAGGAGCTGTTGATACAGTTCTACAGAGGAATTGTTGAATCTGTCATTTGTGCCCCTGTAATTGTCTGATTTGGGACAGCAACCAAACAAGACAGACACGGACTTCAACAGATCGTTAGGACTGCAGAGTTGCAGTTGCAACCAGCCTGCCTTCCATCGAGGAGCTGTATATACTGCATGGGTCAGAAAGAGGGCTGAGAAAATACCTACCAACCCCTCACACCTTGGGCATAAAGAAGAGTCCTCCACTCCTCTGCTCACAACAGAATCCCTTATGCCACCAGGCTTGAAATTTTGGGCTTAGACAACTTAGAACTGTACTGCCTTCGTTCTGACCTAAGCGTAGTACACAAAATGATCTGCTACAATGTCCTACCTGTCAATGACTACTTCAGCTTCAACCTCAACAATACAGGAGCTCACGATAGATACAAACTTAAGGTAAACCGTTCCAAACTTGATTGCAGAAAATACGACTTCAGCAACAGAATGGTCAATGCCTGGAATGCACTACCTGACTCTCTGGTTCCTTCCCCAACCCCCCCCCCCCCAAACCTTAACTTGAGACTGTCTACTGTTGACCTCACCCCATTCCTAAGAGGTCTGTAAGGGGGCATGCATAAACGCGCCAAAGTGCCTACAGTCCCTGTCCTAATGTCCCCATTTATTTGTATCCATTTCATGAATTCATAATCATGTTTATACATATCTGTTATTTTATACATGCTTGACAAATAAATAAATAAATAAACTGTTTCAACGCCTTCCCTCAAGATGATGCTATGCAGTGTTTCTCAACCTTGGTGACTTGCTGGCTGGGGGATTCTGGGAGTTGAAGTCCACAGGACTTCAAGTCACCAAGGTTGAGAAACACCGCTATAGGGCATTGCACGTCAAAATAGCTAAAATCACAGACAGTTCCCCCCCCCCCCCAAAGCCATCACTCTGCTAAACAACTAATTCTCACAATGCTGTCTTATGTCTTAGGATGTCAAACCACCCAGTAGGACTGTTTTACTATTATCCTTCTCGTCTTTCCTTGAGCATATTATGACTATCACTTTGCTGTTTGTATCTTATGATTTATGTTGATTGCTTTTATTTAGTAACCGATGACTATCACTGAGTGTTGTATCTTATGATTTAGGATGATTGCATTTTATGATTATGATCTGTAACGTATCGCTTTGTTGCTTGTAGGTGCACTGAGAGCTTATGCAACGGAGATAAATTCCTTGCGCGCCCAATCACACTTGGCCAATAAAGAATTCTAAATATAAGAGATTTATATGAAATAGACCCAGATTTTTCACTCTTGGTGTTCATACTTGGTTAGGAGCTCTAAATCCCAGCTTTCCATATAGCCTCGAATGCCATCTGGTCTCTTTCATCACGATGTCTATGCTTCATAAACAGCAGCCACAAAACCTGCAGCATAATTTTAAAGTAAACCAACCAAAACACATCTATAAATAGTGCTGTTCTACCACAAAAGTTTCAGAGAATGAACTAAATCAATTGATCCATTTTGCACCCTGAATACTACGTGTGAAGTCCTGCTAAAATTACCAAAACTTTTTTTTAAGAGCAGCCAAAGCTCTCCATTTCATGGAGCACATAAACATGGTCATCATCTACTTATTCATTACTTATTTATTTATTAAGAAAATTTATAGGGTGACCCAACTCTTATGTAACCCCTCTACAGTTCAAGATACTGTGACTGTGTATAAGATACAGTTCAAGATACAAGTGACTGTGAGAGGTTCTTGGAGTTTTAGTGGATAACCAGCTAAATATGAGCCAGCAGTGTGCAGCAGCAGCCAAAAAAGCCAATGCAATCCTAAATTGCATTAACAGAGAGATACAATCAAGATCAAATGAGGTACTAATACCACTCTATAAAGCCTTAGTAAGACCACACCTAGAGTACTGCATCCAGATTTGGTCACCACGCTATAAAAAGATATTGAGACTCTAGGAAAAAGTGCAGAGAAGAGCAACAAAGATGATTAGTGAACCATTTAAATATGAGCCAGCAGTGTGNTATCCCTTGGTATGGATTGATTCATACTGTATTCTATTTAATTATAATTTTAGGAAAAAGCTTGCATCCTGATTCTCAGTTCTGTAGGACCTTATTGGTTAATATCAGAACTTTAGACCTGACCATTTGGTAAATTCAGCCTTGGCAGTTCTTTCATTAGACATATTATAGCAATCTGTACATATAATATTGTGGACATTACATAAAGTATGCTTACAATAGACTTGTGGCAGGAGTTTTCACTAGCTTGATAAGCAGGATGATATGATGATGATGATGATGATATAAATAACAATTTTGTTATAAATGCTTATTTGCCAAGACTCTATTTTTCAGCCATTTATGGCAATACTATGACCTACTATATTCAAGTGCAATGTTTAAAGTACATTTTAAGCAAAATACTTTGTGGTAGTGATAATTTTAAAATGATTATTAATCCTCCATGTAGGTCTATATACAGCAGATTAAAAATCTAAATAAATAAAACATTCCAATCATAGGCTACTTGTTCTCTCAGAATTGGCATTGTTTCTGTTTCCTGAAACTGGACTATTATTTCTTACTTATTATTAACCAAACATATTTTTCTCAGCCAAAAGTAACACATGCACATAACTGGGCATATTGTTGAACATATGCTCCCTAGCAGGTATAATCTGACATTTATAAAAATGAAGAAGAGAACATATGTGATTTTAATAAATAGGCCATTCCGCAGGAAGACATTAATCTATTTTGTTTTCTTGTAGTTTGTTTTATTAGATTTATAGACTGCCAGAATTGAAATACTTTTAGTAGTAATAATAGCAATAGTTGTGCTGAACTCCTGTATTCCATTTATTTAAGAAGATAAAATGCAAAGTATTTGGGTGTTTATGTGTACTTGACACATCCCTATGGAAAAAAAAACCTCAGAAGCTTGTGAGTGCAAGGAAACGTTTTATAAAAGTAAAACTAATAGATGATAAAAGCAACTATTAGTTGTTGTAGGCTGAAAACTTCTGTTCTGAATCAACACTTGAGCACTTTTCAGCACTTTTATATTTTTCCAATATATAATAGAATAGGTGATCAATCAAAAAATTCTATCTGTGGCTATTTATTGTAAAATTATCAGAGTGACAGCCTATCAATTGTGCTTCCATTTTAAGTTTGTTTTTCTTATGTTCAGTTATGTCCAATTCTCAGAGACTGCCTGGACAAGTCCTTGAAGTTCTCTTGGCAAAGTTTTTCAGAAGTGGTTTGTCATTATTTCCTTCCTAGGGTTGCGCGAAAGTCACTGGCCAAAGATCACCCAGATGACTTTGTGCCCAAGTCAGGACTAGAACTCATGGTCTTTCAGTTTCTAGCCTGATGCTACACTACACAAAGTTGCTCTCATTTTATTTTTACATCACTTTAAATTATGTTATCATATTCTCAATTTGAACTTCTCCTCTGGATACTTATTCTGATCACACTTTTTTATTTGGTATGTAGAAATATTAAGAAGAGAAATTATGCAACAAAAATAAAATGTAGAT